GATAGATAGATAGATAGATAGATAGATAGATAGATAGATAGATAGATATCTCACATAGATACTGTTGTGTAGCGTCAAGTTGGAAGCAACCTATAGTTGACTCTCTGGCTGGTTTTCAAAGGCAGTTAATTGCACCGGAGGAAATTGCCCATCCTTCTCCCACGATATAGAACAAAAAACAATTATTACATTTGCTCTGACTCATGGTGTCCTCTGGTGACCTAGTGGTAAGAAGCTGCGCTGCCTTACTACAGGCACAGAGTTCAAATCCACCAGTTGTTCTACGAGAAAAGAATGGGAAATCTCCTACTGTGTGTTTTACTGCGTCCAAAAAGCTGCCAGATGGTCAGTTATGAGTTGATTCTGACTCGATGGTACACAACAACAATGACAAGGTGTTCTCATATAGAGCAGATTAGAATTGTTCTCCACAGGGTGCTCTATGGTGGGTTGGTTGGTTGATTTTTCAGAAGAGTACATTAGCTGTTTGCATTACTCAGTGGCTCCATCTGGCCTATAGGATACAATTAATTAATTACTGCATTAATAGGTGAAAGAATGAATTAAAAAATACCTTATTGCTACACTATTTATAAGCCAACATTGTTATATGCAGCAATTAACTGCTCAAGATGGTTTATACATTAGATCTTTGCCCTTATATAATAGTATAGGGCTCACTCTCAGCTCTGACTTAGTAAATTGATGCTTTTGTAGCTTTGGTTTTATCTTCTAATTTTGTGTACTCTATTTGTATACCCTTCAGCTGAATCTCTAACTGGTTAATATTTTTCAGTGGAGGCGGATATTTTTCAAACTGCTTGCGTCTTTTGGAGATGTCAATCAGCTTCTGTTTTGTGTCTTTGGGAGAAAATTCCTTATCATAGTCATCATAGCCATCAAAGTATTGAGAATGATCCACTTGTAACACAATGCTGTTTTCCATGCTTCATTCAGAGATAGACGAAGGAAATGATAGCAGTGGCCCCTTTCCTAAATGAGAGCACAAATTAGGACAGGGAAGTCAGCATAACTACTAGAGAGAAACATTTTTCCTTCCTGTACTAAATAAGTTGTATCTACTTCCAGCGCTTTTGTCCCTCCTAAAATCTCTGCTAAAATAAATGACTCATTTTCTTGATATAATCTCACTTGTTTAGTAATTTCAGAAAGATTGATTCTGCAGTTCTCGTTTTCATTTATTCCTTATTCTTGCATTATCTAATTCTAATATGTATTTCTTTCTTTAAAAATATACTGTTTAAATATTTTAGTAATAAGTATGCACTGGGAAAATAACATATGGAATGATGATGAGTCTTCTAATTGGAAATAAAATAACTACTATTTCTTTTCAGTTTTTTGGTTTAGTTTTTTTGTTCTTGTTACGTTGTGTTTTGGTTTTACCATATCTCAAGGTTTAAAAAAAAGCAATAGATGGCAAGAGAGATTATCCTTGGAAGGTCTTTGCTGCCATCTTCTGTTCCCTCATGTAATTACTCATTGTTTCTTAGATTCTAAAATCCCAACTTTTATTTACATTACTAAATTCTAAAAACCTAATTTTCTCTTGCTTACGTTATTTCCCCCCTTTTTTATTTTTCCTTTAGTTAAAGCAAAGTGAAGCAAATGCAGACACTAAAGAAAAACTCCCTTTGCGCCTGCGAATCTTTGAAAAATTTCCTAACAGACCACAAATGGTGAAGATCTCAAAGCTGCCTTCAGATTTTACAGTTCCTAAAATCAGGTATGAAAGTGTACATCTTTAATTATGCATGGCCATGTTAAAACTTTCATCTAAATCTGAGCCAGGTCTAATTTACAACACGTAGATATTTTTCTCTTGTTTCATATTATTATCAATATTTATGCTCATGCTACCTCTCTTTTGGAAACCATTGATTCCCCTTAAACAATGTGTTATGGGAAGAGTCACTTTACAAAGTGTGAAATACATTTTAGAATTTCTGGTGGCAGAATTTGTTACCATTGTAGCATTTGTTTAGAATCTCATACCTGCATACTGTACAATTCATCTTGCAGTTTTGAAAAAGAACCTTTGCATTTTCACTCATCTTTCCTACTTTTTACCTTCTTTGGGTTAGCAACGCAACTCTAAGCCACCCAAAGCTACACCTTTCTGGCAGTTTGAATTTCCTATGCCACTGGATAATTGCAAAGCCTCTTTGCAACTGTAGAGAAACAGTTTGCTTTTTGTACAGAACACAGTGTACCTATTTCCTTCAAGGGAGAAAGACAGACAATCTTCTCCTGTGCAATTTAACCCTCAGGAACCAAAGAAAAGGTAAATCTGAGTTGGTTCACATTCCACAACAATGAATCTTAAATTTTTGTGTGCCTTTAAGAGAGCTCTGCTGATGTAGTCCTTAGGAAGTTTTGCTGCTAGCCCAAAATGGTGCCTCTCTGGCATTTTTAATCCAGTAGAAAATGTGAGGGAGAAAGGCAGGCAATCTTCTCCTCTGCAATGAGCAGCCATCAAAACCTGCTGGAGTGTCAATGACAGTGAGTGACCTCCACCTAAGTTAATGTATGGAGAAGATCTATTGTTACAATGAGGGGAAAAAAATTCATTTTTGTAGATCCAAAATTTAATATAATCAGAATTATCTGAAAAGTTTACTTGACTGGTTTTAAAACAAATCTGTAGGGGATTAGAAAAGTATGAGCCTGATGTGGTGCCATAATATTTAAAATTCAAGTAGAACTGTATTTGCATTTCTAATTTTAAAGAAATGAAATTTAAACCTTGAAATGTGAAGTATGAAAGAGCCATAAATGAGATTCAGGATTAGTGGTTATTTGAAGAGATGTTATTTGAAGCCTCACCATACTTTAGAGGTCAAATGAAGAAAATTTCTTTTGAGTAATTTTGAATCTTTGAATGCAAAACTCTCTCAGGCATTCTTATGACAAATGGAAGGTCAAAGAGAATAACTAATGCTTCCATTTCTTAGAGAGAAAGAGAGAATAAAAATTACCACAATAGGGTTTTAGAAATACCATAGTGATTGAATTTCATTGCTTCAAAATTATTTGGGGGCTATTACTTTTTCTAAGAAGAAGTAATTCGAGATTCAGGAAACTCTCCTTAAGTTAAATATGTTGGTAATTAAATGTAAGCATCACTTTTTTAATGAGATGCCTTATTTAGCATGATCCTTTGTCACTGGTTTATCTTAGTTCAAACAACTGCATTACTGCAGAATACCACCATTTGCTCCACTGCTCGAATAACACTTGATATGTGTATACTTCATTTGTAAAGGGAAAGTTTTATGAAGCAGTTTATTGATCGCCAGCAACAGGACACTTGTTGCCTCTTAAGAAGCCTCCCTTCGACCTCTTCCTCATCATGTGATCACTCCAAGAGATCTGCCATTGAAGACAACAAGTACATTGATCAAAAAGTAAGAACCACTGTCTTAAATAACCATACCTGCTATTGTCTTAGGGCTGGGTTAGAGGATGGTGTTATGTGTCCTTGAGTCAGGACCAACTGATAGCTGACCTTCCAGCAGGTTTCCAGAGGCAATGAATTGCATAGGCAGTAAATTGCATCCGCCTTTCTCCTGTGTAGCAGCTGGTATATTCGAACCATGTGTCTAGGGGTAGGAAGAATAACCTCTTATCACTAAACCACAAGAGCATCCTGCAACACTGTGTAGAGTCTCAGAATCCAATGTGTCAGGAGGGAAATTATTTGCAGATGGAATCATCCAATATTTCATGACTTAGCATAACATTTTTAATTTATAAATTTCAGTTTTGTATTTATAAAAGTCTGCCAGGGTACTTTGAATACTGGGAGATCCTTCTCAAAAAAGGGCTTGGATCCTAAGACACAATCTAGGTTATTGATAGCCTCTATATTGTCTTCTGTAAGTAGCCATTAAGACATTATGGGGAACAATCCAGGAGAGATTTCTGTAAAATCAGTAAAAGGAACTACCATATATTGAGTACATACTAGGTAGCAGGGATTACCTCTACTTCTAGACACATTGTCATATTCAAAATCTGATTCACTATGACTTGGAAAAAAAGACTATTTGTAGATTTTATAGAAAATATCAACGAGGAGTTAACATGCATACATATAAACTTTAGTGTCAAAGAATGAAATATTTACTATATATCTACTTTAAAATTAAGATTAAAAATGTTTGGTAAAGAAATATATGAGATATATGTAGTATCTATTTTACATTACATATAGACTTTTCAAAACTGGTGAAAATGGCTAAAAGCTCAAGCCAGATATGATTCATGGTAAATGGTTTCAGGTAGATATTAGTTCAAACCCACCCACCAGCTTCTCCCCTTTGGAGATAGATGTGATGATCTTTTCCTGTGGAGAAGATCTCTGTTCACACGAGGGTGGCCATGAGTCAGAAGTGTTAAGATGACAGATAGTATTATACATGTTGTTGTTGCTATGTGCCATTGGGTCAGAACCAACCATAGTTGACTCTCTAGCAGGATTTTTTTTTCTATAATTATATTTTATTAATTTTCATAAACATTTACAGAGATTTTGGGCTTCCACTCATTCATTGTTGCACTATTC